CAAAAAAAACTCTTCCCGGCTCCTTGCACTAGGCAGGAGTGTGTGAGCAGGGATGCAGAGCTCCCCTCCCACTGAGCTCGCAGCTAAAGCCCTCCCCCAGTTCCCAGGGTCTTCAAATGAAGATTTGCATAGTACTTCCAGATCATTCCCGAGAGAAGGGACAATGGCTCTCTCAACGCCCTCTTCCCCCCTCCCTCCTTCACTTACAAAGCTGATAAAGCCCTGGTGAAAAGGGGAACAAAGGATTTACAGATGGCAGAATATTGATTTCTGCAGTTCCAGGACTACAGGGAGAAGATGAAGAACACCCCAGAAACTCTGTGAAGTTTGAGACACAGGCCCTACCTCTGCAGCACGAACTCCGTGTTTGTTAAGAGGGTATCTGATGGAGGAAACATTGCTATTCTGAGGGACGAGCAGGTCCCTGAAAACTTGAAAATGCACAAAGATGAGATTACAGTCTGAAATCCCAGTGAGCACATTTGTTGTTCCCAAACCTCCTAAACGGAGAGGTGCTTCCAGTGAAAGCAGTTTGCCACCAGGCGGGCCAGTCCGGCATTGCTCTGAGAGCATTCAGACCCAGCTGAGTGTATCGAAGGCTTTTATAAATTGCATCTCACCAGTGATTCATGCTGTTACCCGCGTCCTCTCCTCTCTGCTATCCACCACTGCAGCTAGGAAAAATTAGAAAAAGAAAGGTGAAAGACGAGTCTTTGTAAAGTGGCCTTTGATTCTAAATTACTGTGGAACCTCCAGATCTCAAAACTCACTAACTTTTAGGGCCATTACCCAAAGGCTAAAGCTTCCTGCCTCCACAAGCATTTCTGTGCTTAGTACACATAAACCCAAGCTTTCTTTTGGGCTACAAACATTCTTTTTCAGCTTAGCAAGCCAACTCCACCCTTACTGAACACCAGCTCACTGCAATTGTTCAAATTTTGCTACGCTGAACAGCGAGATGATCTGAAGGGTTCAAATCGGATGCTGCACATCACTGCTGCATATCCAACAGGAGACATTCACTGAGTAGCCAAGTCAGATTACAGGAGTTCTGGCCTGACTTCCACCTGTCCCACCACCACACTGAAAACAGCTTTCTTAAAGTGACCGGCTACCAGCACTTTATTTCCTTTTTCTTTTTCAGAGTTAACTTTGCAGCATTTCTGCACTCAGAAGGCTCCCAGGATGCTGGATCTTTTGGAAAAATGTATGTGTGGAAACTTCCCCAGAATGTTGGATTTAGGACCGATAAGCTAGTTTCTAAATCAAGCTATAGGCCCTCAAATAGGTCAGCTTTGGAAAAACTCACATTGTAAATCCAATCTGCAAGGCCATAGCACATGCCAGTGAGTGCAGGAGGGGTTTCCCACGCCACGGGTCAATAAACCAGGCAGAGCTACTGAGCCAGCGGCAGAGCTGACTGTTCATGCACTGCTATTTTCCCCACACCCTTATAAAACACTCTCTTCCAGGACGAGTGCAATCATCACGGTGACAATAACCATTACATATTACACAGTTAAACGCATTTCATGCAACTATATCAAAACATTCTTCACAATAAAAGATCGAGGTTTCTTCAAATACCTGTCTTACCTCAATGAGAAGAAATTTTTCAGGTGGAATCATTTGTCTCTTCTAGCACTCTCTCCCAGTTTACACCACATTTAAAGAGGAGGTGAATCAGACCCATCAGACTCCTGACACACTAATATAGAGATTAATCACAGCTGTTGGGAAGATAAAGCCTAAGAAAGTCCTATTTTAGATCAGTGTAACTCAGACTGTAATGAAACTGCCACCATACTTGGGTTCAGGACAGACCCGAACCCCATTTTCAGTTCCTCTCCGCAAGCCCCTTGGAGCTCCATGGGTGGAAGAAGTGCTCACAAGAACTTCCTTTAACCTGGTGCAGCTGTGCTGAGTCACCACTACCATGTACTGCTCTCTGTGAGCATTTTCTTCTCTGAAGGGCATTTTCCAGACTGTCAGAGGAGTGGAGGTGTCAAGAAGAACTAGGGAGAAGCACAACTTGGCTGCTCTCTCCTCCCGCTGAACACTTGCACATTGTCTTTTGAGGCTATTGCAGCAGCACAGCTCACAAACCTTTTTTATTTTTAGAGAGTACCACTTTATGCTTCTTTCCTCGTCCTAGGCAGAAGTTTGTTTCTTGTTTCACTAATCCTTTTTTGTTTTCTCTCCTTTGTAAACATTAGTGTCTGTTGCTGACTTACAGTTCTTTTTGCTACAAACTTGTTTGTTTATGTAGCTCCTGCTATGCAAACAACACCATAATTTGCTTTAGGATACAGCACTTAATCTTGGCTTCATCACTTAAATATTATACAAAATAATTCTTGTATCTTCTGTTCCCAAGAAAAGCCACATGCAAGTTCATTTTTTAAAGTCTGACATTACACATCTCATAAGCCTGAATCCAAAGGATGCAGGTGGAGAAAGGCAAAATCTACCGCCACTGTGGACAAGACCTTCATAACATTCTCAACCTCACTCAGCAAAGCAAGTGTGCGTGCACATGATGAGCTGCAGTGGCATCAGGTCTGTACTGTAAAAAAATGCATCACGTTGATGAAGACAGAAGAACGCTCTGTAGGTAGACACATGCCACCAGGGAATAACTTCTCCTTTCAGTATGGGAGCAAAAGTGTTCTTAAAATTATTTATTAAATGAAAATATATGAAAGCAAGTTACTGGAAGAGGTAACTGTGATTTAGAAATACAAAGAGAATAACAGAGTACTTTTTAACAGTTTACACTGCAAAGACACAGTAAACATGACCAGCTAAGCAACATTTTTACACCAAGGTATGTTTCACAACAGCCTTCCAAGATCCTGGCCATCTTACCATTCCAATATGCTACACAGTAAATTTAGATATGAGTCCCGCTCCAAGTGAAAGAGGGGAAAGAAATCACACTCCCCAGCAGCAAACACAGCTCCCTAGCATCTAAACACCATGCTGTAACAGCAACTGAGCCACACTATGTGGTCTGACCAACAGAAAAGCAATTGGTTTCGTGGGACCAAGGTGAAATGTGAGCCTGTACTACCCCAGCCAAAGCAGCACTGGGTCATAGCATAACCCCAAACCAGGATGCTTACACTTCCCTTCAGCTCCTCTTCATCTTTCACAGATGCCTACTTTATATGACAAATGAGCAAACATACCTCATTAGGAGAATAATACAATTCCTTCATCACCATTAGCTCACAGACCAAACCTCACCACCATCCCTTCCCAAAAGCTCCATTGCTTTGCTTTCCCCTTCTGTCCATTTCAGACTCTACATCCACCACAGCAGTCCTCTCCTTTTACTGTGGGGTTTCAAGTGTTTGAAAACTGAAAATGTACTCTCCATCTACATGGCTTCTACCAGAGGTCAAACAGCCAACCAGCAGGCTCCAATAAAAAATTATAATAACATAGGATCCAGATATTTGCAATTTTTTTTTTTTTGAGATCTTGTGTTTGTTCAAGGGATGTTATTATTTCAGCAGAATCATTCCAGGAATGCACATAATTAAAAACACATCAGTGGTTACAAAAATGCATTTCATTAATGAAAAACAACTTTTTACTGGTATGATCGAAACAGTTTTTATACCCCAGCAATGGCATTGGTCCCTAATGCAAAGTCACACTAACAGTGTAACAGCCCTTCTCTGCTGTTGCATAAAATAAACTTTAATACAGCTGCACAACCGCTTCACTGCCAGGAGATTCTACATAGGATGCCAGGGCTGCTTCCACTTAGCATACAGCCCCGAAACCCACTCAGGGGCATCCCTCCCCCCCACCCCGGGAGACGCCCCTCCCAAACTCTCTCCCTCCACAGTGCCATAGATCGGTGCTTCCTTGCGCTCTGGAGAGCTGTGCGGTCACGGGGCCCTCCCAGTGTTGCCCTCCAGCAGCCAGTGGAAGCCAGCACAAATCACTGCCAGCCGCCACAGGCCCCCTTCTCCCCGCCCCCGCGCCCCC